ACGGAAGTGTGATTATTGTGGCAAACCAAAACACATTAGGGAAACTTCTGGAAGTTGCTTGAAAAACCAATTAGATGTCGGGGAGGAAGAAGAGGTAGAACTACAAGAGTTCAAGCAAATTTTGTTGAAGCCAGAGAAGCACCTGATTCACCATCCATTGGAGCATTTTCCATAAAAGAAATTCAAAACTTGAAACGTCTTCTGAGTCAACTTAACTCTTCATCAATTGTTGACACATCAAATATGGTAAAATCAGGTATTGCTCATTGTATTTCCACTTTTGATAATTGGATTATAAACTCCGGAACTAACAGACACATGACAGACTCTTATAAAGAATTCTTAACCTATTTTTCTTTTACTAAATGGGATAATGTCCGTATAGCAGATGGGTCATACAACCCTATGTCATGAACAGATTTTATTAATTGTACTTCTACTATTATACTGTCTTCAGTTTTATATGTGTTTAGTTTTTCTGATAATCTTTTATCTATTAGTGATATAACTAGAGATCTCAACTGTAAAATTAAATTTTTTCTTGATCATTACATTTTTCAGGATCTTCAAACCAGGAAGAGCATTAGGACTGATAGACTTCAAGATGACTTATATGTCTTACATACACATCTAAACTTAATTGGAAATCAAGCAATCATTGGGAATAAAGAAGTCAATCTGTAAATACTACAATGGCACCAACAATTGGGTCATCTTTCCTTTTTTGTTTTAAAAAAATTATATTCTAAATTATTTAAAAGAACTTTCATAAAGTCTTTGTTTTGTGATGCATGCGAACTTGTTAAACATAAGAGTAACTCTTATCATTTAAATAATAATAGAAGTTTTGATCATTTTATTACTATTCACTCTTATGTGTGGGGATCTACTCAGAATACCTCTCTTTTTTGTCATAGATGATTTGCTACTTTTATTGATTTTTGTATTAGATTAACATGAATTTATTTGTTAAAAGTAAAAGGTGATGTATTTTCATGTTTCCAATCATTCCATAAAATGATATGTACACAGCTTGATGCTAAAGTTAAAATTCTGCGAACTGATAATGATACAAAATATATGAATAGTGGGTTTCGTGAAGTCAAATGAGATAATTCATCAGACAAGTTGTGTCTCCACCAATAAACAAAATGGAGTTGCTGAAAGAAAAAACAGACGCATACTAGAGGTAACTCGGTCACTAATGTTCACCATTAATCTACAAAGAGTTATTGGGAGATGCAGTTTCCTCAGCTGTCTATCTTATCAATAGAATGCATTTAAGGGTTTTGAATTTTAAAAGTCCTATAGAGGTTTTGTAAGGAAAAAATTTCTACATTATTCCCCCAAAAGTGTTTGAATGTATGTGCTTTCTTCATGCTAGAAATGTGGGTAAGCTAGAACCTAGAGCTCTTAAGTGTATATTTGTTGGATATTTTTCTATTTACAAAACCTACAAATGTTATCATATACTATGTACAAAATACTTTATAACTATGCATATTACCTTTAAGAAAAATGAGTATTACTTTAACTCAAACTCAACACTTCTTCAAGAAGAGAGTGAGAAGGAAGAAGTGATACCTAATTGGGTAACAATTGAGAGTCATATCCAAGAGGAGAATTCTATTGCAGAAGGTCTTAATCAAGAAGACAATATTAAACGTTTAGATAAACCAGACTTGAAAATGTATTCAATGAGAGAAATTTGAAAAAGCCATCATGCAGCCATTTCAAGATCACGAATCTTCTCTGGTTACAAAAGATACTGATGAATTATCTTTCTATTGTGATTTTTCAGATAAACCTATTGCTATTAGAAAAGAAACGAGAGCTTGCACTAAGTACCCTAAATCTAACTTTGTTTCCTATGACTCTCTATCTCCCTCCTATAGAGCGTTTGTCTTATCTGTTTTCTTTGTATCTATTCCACATGATTGAAAAGAAACTTTATGAGATCCTAAGTGCAAAAAAGTCATGATTGAAGAAATGAGAGCATTTGACAAAAAATAAAACATAGCAACTTATTTCACCTCCACAGGGAAAGAAAATAGTTGATTGCAAATGGGTGTAAAACACAAACTAGATAGATCGATCGAAAGGTACAAAACTAGATTGGTGGCTAAAGAATTTACTCAGATCTATGGGATTGATTATCAGGAGACATTTGCACCTATCGCGAAAATGAACACAATTATAATACCTTTGTCTTGGGCAACTAAGCTTGATTGGGATTTACAGCAGTTTGATGTAAAAAATGCATTCCTCCATAGAAACTTAGAGGAAAAGATATACATGAAAATTTCACATGAATTTGAAGATGAGAGAACGTAAAGAAAAGTTTGTCAATTAAAATATGGCTTACACGGATTAAAGCAGTCTCCAAGAGTATGGTTTAAACGATTTAAAAGAGTTATGATTTCTTTCGAATATCAACAAAGCAATATTGATCATACCCTGTTTATCAAATATCGTGAGGGTAAAGTCACTTTTCTCATTATTTATGTGGATGATATTGTGATGACTGAAGATGACATAAATGAGATGACTCGGTTGAAGGAACTTCTTGCTCAAGAGTTTGAAATAAAAGATTTAGAAAAATTACAATATTTCTTGAGAATTGAAGTTGTCAGATCCAATAAAATGATCTTTATTTCTCAAAAGAAGTATATCTTAAACTTACTAGAAGAGACTGTTATGATGGGTTACAAGCCGACATAATCACCTATTGAGAACAACCACAAATTGCAAGAACGTAGTAATACATCAGTTGACTTGGGAAAATACCAGAAACTAATTGAATGACTCATTTATCTCACATACCAAACATGATACAGCATATGCAGTTAGTCTTGTGAGCCAGTATATACATGATTATTATGAGACTCATTTACATGTTGTCTTCCGCATATTACGAAATCTGAAGTCTGCACCAGGAAAAAGTCTGCTCTTTTCTAAGCATGATCATCTTAAAATAGAAGTGTTTACAGATGCCGATTGGGTTGCATCCTTAGATAGTAGAAGATCAACTACAGGTTACTGCACACTTGTATGAGACAACTTAGTCACATGAAAAAATAAGAAACAAAGTGTGGTTGTCTGCTTCATTGCGGAGGCAGAATATAGAGCAATGACTCAAGGAGTATGTGAATTACTATGGTTGTAAAAACTAATGGAGTTAAAACTGCTTAAAGATGAGAAATTATCTCTGTTTTGGGACAATAAAACAGTCACTAACATTACTCATAATCCAGTTCAACATGATGGAATAAATCACATTGAGATTGATCGACATTTCATAAAAGAGAAGGTGGTTGGTTACTCTCTATGCTTATATCACGTATCTTCGAACGAGCAGGTGACTGACATTTTCACTAAAGAACTATACAACAAATCTTTTCAAAACTTGATTTGCAAGTTGGATACATGTGATATCTTTACGCCAACTTGAAGGAGAATCTTGATAAAAATTTCATGGTAAGTAAAATACTATATTAGTTAAAGTTCTAATAGTATAATTATATCTTATGATTAGAGTTCAACTATAATAGAGATAATTACTCTATATATATTTTCTAAGTGTAAACACAAAATATAAGAAATAAAATTAGAAATATATTTTCTCCAAAATCTTCAATCATCAAGAGGAAACTCCTATTACGCATATTCTAGCCAGGTTGAAATACCCCAAAATAAAAGGAAATATTAGCCTTACCAATGACATCAATTTTCGTGCTTGATACATGCCCTAAAGTTGTGCATACATCATAACCTGCAAACACCATACAAATCATTTTTTAAGCATGAAATGCTCTTCCACTTTTGTGTATTGCAATAAAGATATATGAAAAAGGAAACAAAAGACCAAGATTGGGAAAGATTTTCGTTGAAATTTAAAAGAAGATCAGTGCAAATGCACAAATTTCCAAAAATTTATCCATATGGCTTAGATATACATAAGCATATTATAAACTACACTTTCCAAAATCATTTACCTCCATTGTTGTTTGACACAAGTGCACTACATTCCATCCCGCAGCGTGATGGACCCCCACAACCCTATGATATAATGATGGAGTCAATAGAAAAGTAAGAAATTTGCGCTGACAATGAACCGAGCTAAATGTTGTCATTCTTCAGTTCACATTAAAGAAAAATATGACTCACAAAATTCCAGGAGCATTTACCATGCAGCCAACACATCTAGGTGGATCATGATTGAAAATCATTCCATCGCAAAGCTGCTCCAAAAAGTCAAATATATTCTAGGTCATTTTAACTCTCAAACTTTTATTAATCAAGTGAAGACCTCATAAATTAACCAACCAATATGTTTGAAAGTTACTCTAATAGTATCAAGTCCATATCAATATGTTTGAACTTTACATATGCCTTGCACAAACATTTTAAGTATAAAAATGGATGAACTACATATATGTAAATAAAAGTGAGCTAATGGGAAATAGATTGCATGTAAAACAGAGAAAAAATATGTAACCTGATGAAGCCAACCTGAAACCAGAGCACTGTTTCATTCCCTTGTACCTTATAAAACCTGAGGTAGTTTCACCAACAAAAGGTATCCACGTTGATCAGAACAAAATTAACGGAAGTTAAGCAAGCAATTCAGCTTTCACAAAACAACACAAGAAAAAAAGAAATAGTAGAACAAGCAACTTATCCAAATGCGATATTGCCTTACTTAACTGTTTAATTTGAAGTGGCTTCCAATATAAATAACACAATAATTAATCAATACTGCTATTACCCAAGAGAAACCCCTCCAACTATAACTGATTTGTCTAACAACAGGACCAAAAACTTCCTAAATTAAGGTCAGTAGACAAAGTTTTCTTAAAAAGAAAATTAGGAAAAGGGTCTATATTATAATTAAAAATTCGTTTTTAAAGTATTACCAAACTGGTTCCCCCAATTTTTTGGAACACTTGAAAGCCAGTAGTGGAGGAGGTGGAGGCAACCCACCACTGCCCCTCCCCCAATTAATCTTTAATTAGGGAGGGGCTGGGATCCCTCAAATACTACTCCCACCCTCTTCTAACCGTTGAAAGATATATAAATTTTCATATATGTCTTCACAATATCACAACATATTATATGCGTATATATTATATATATTCACAATAATCCTCCTCCTAGCTATGAGTGCTATATATATCTTCAGAAGAGAAAATATATTTGCCGCCCCGCTTGTGAATAATCCTGGCTCCGTACTTTTTACAGCAAGCTCTATTAGTAGAATAAATCTCACACTCAACAGAAAACCATTGAAACAAATAAGGAAATTTTCCATTATCATACGATCATTCATCAAAAACCCAAGAGAACTAAAAATAAAATAAAATAAAAGTGTAATGCGTATATTGATATTTTGGGACCAAGGAGTGCCCACCTATGTCCAAAGATTTACAAATCAATCGCAAGTGTCAATAAAGTTCCCCAAGTTCACCATTAAGTGAAGAGGATGAATAACAATATAAAGCAAAAAGCAAAAAGCAAAATAACAATAATAACGACGATAAATTTTTAAGCCAAAACTCAATCTGTTAAGAGAAATTCATAATTGATGAAGTACGAGTACGTACCCATCTTCGCTGAGTATGCCATGAGGGAATTTGGGCAGTGGAGTGGCCAAGCTAAAGTTAAAGAGCTTGTAACCGCTATCGAAACTGAGTTGGCATAAAGCAGGGTCCGAGTTAACTCGGTTCAGAGTGGTGAAGACAACGATGAGAAACCATTGCAGTAGTAAATCCCTTCCTATTCTTCCCATTTCCTCTTCCCAAAAAGATCAACCGACTTCCTCAGTTGAAAATCAAAACCCCTTTCTGATTTTCAAAGTTTAATTTTGATTTTCTGATTATTGTAAATTCATTGCTGCATTGAGATTTGAAGAAAGGTCCGTCCAAGATGGGAAATGAGGCAAGGCTGTGGGCTCTTGTGCGTACAGCCTTTACTCTGTCAGGAGCCTGGAATTTAAACTAAGGATTAATTACCAAAGCCACCACAACTATTACTTAATTGTATTTTGAGCACCTAAAGTTTGGAAAATTACTTGGGACGCCCGATTTGGCTCAGTTGAAAATTGTTATTTTTTATTTTTTTTTAATTATTTTCTTATCTTATAACAGAAGTCATACAAATTAAAACTCAAACCTTTATCAGAAGTACTAACTAGTAATAATATTTAATTTTTATAATTTATATATAAACTAAATTTTTAGTTCGTGCTATTAAATTTTAAATTTTTATTTTTAATTGAATGTATTTTATTCAGAAAGCATAATTAAATTTATTTAAATGGTACAAAATCATGTAAGATATTTTTTCTAATTGAAACTCGTTTAAAATATTTAAAGTTAATATTTTGATTAAAAATTTTATATCATATGTTTTTATTAATTGACTTTAAAATTCGAGATGTCTTATTTATTTTTTTAGCTTGTAAAATTCAATTATACAAAATTATTCGTCGAATTTATTATTTTACTATTAATTGGGTTTTTACTGTTAATTTTAACAAAAAAATTATTAAATATTTGAGGAAATGGTTAGAAAAATTCAAGGTAAATATGTAAAATTTGTTTAAATTGAAAGAACGTAAAAAAAAAAAAAAAAAAAAAAAAAAACTGAATTGATTTTTTTAAATCATTTCGACTTATTTGGTATGTTCAGTTTGATTAGTTGCAAGATTATTCGGTTTTTTTGTTAATTTTTTGGTTCTGAATTTACAAAACTAAATTAACAAAATTTGAATATGTTAATATCTTTCAAAATATTATAGCAATTTAGTTATATATAAATAATAAAAGTAAACAAAATATTAATATTATAAACATTCATTTTTGTTCAATCAAAATTGAACTGATTGGATTAAGTTTGATTAATTTAATTTTTGATTTAATCATTTATCCTTTATTTTTTAAAAAATAATAATAATAATTTCAGTGCATCAATTCTACATTCCTATACGATTTCTATCAATTTTAACATATTAAAAATTGTATAGTTCCCAATGCTATTTAATTTTAATATCATTACATCATAAACATTTCTTATATTTAAATTTAGATACATGAACCCGAATCGAGTTATAATCATTTAACGAAATACTTTTACTTTTAACACCTTTTTTTTTTATCATTGTAATAATCGTGATTGAGTTTTAAATTTGACATTTTTTTCACAATTTTATGTACAATTAATGTTAAGAATATATTTAACAGTGAAAGAGTAATGGCACAACACAATAAAATAGAATTATTATATTTATATTTGGTTTCCGAGGGACTAAAAAGAATAGTAAATTATTTTTGTTTTCAAATCATGTTTCGACAAACAGTATCATCGAGTATCATCGACAAACGGTTACAAATGAGCCCCATAATACAGAATCGTATAGTTCTAAGCATTGAGTCTGCAACGAGACTGATTTATATCCCAAACTGTGTAATGTCCCAAACCCGAGATTTAAACAATACATATTTGCGAATAACCCTGGTACAGAATAACAATGGAACCTACCCACCATTACACTCAGAAGTTTAGCTTGGTAAATACCCTCTATTTGGAAGTTGAGCATCACAAATTGGCACATACATGGGGCATAGTGGGCATTAATGCAGATAAACCTCCAAAGATAATATAGGATGACTGGCCATAGAACAAACTTACTATGACCTTCACTGGTCAAGGTCTGGTTACACATGTAAAGTACATGAATATATATAAACCAGATCGGGGGCTATTTACATGTTTTTTGGAGGTCTGGTTACTCAGCATGATTACTAGACCACTAAAATTCAACATCGTAGGTGCTTCTACAGAAGTTCGTATGAAAATAGAAGTTTAAGCATAAGCAGCAGTTCTTACTTAAAATTAACAGGCACACATGATACAAATATGAATACACAAGAAAACCAATCTACTGAATTACTGATTGTAAATAAGGTAGCAAAATGCATACAATGATATCTTTGTGATGGTAGTTTTAGACGGCTAACAGAAGAAAAACTAGCCATCAGGCGACATTTTCGCACTCAAGGCATATTTTAACTAACAAAAGCCATTAGTCGAGTACAAAAAAAAAAAAAAGAATCCTCAAAACCTTTCTGCTAGTCTAGCAGTAACTGCTCTAAGCTTAGAATATACCTTACCAGCAGGGGACCCTAAAATGAGGCTGCAAAGCGAATCCCTAGCAATTTTTATATTGGCAAAAGATCCTAATATGTGAATCTTGGTGTCTGCAATCACAATCCTTGTCTTTGTAGCATTTTCTATAGCAAACTTTGTTTTACCTCCTTTACCTGACAATCTCCCAATGGCACGAGATAAATGCTCGCCTCTAAGCGTTTTAACATCCTTGATCTCAAAAGATTCCACATATAGCTCATCCAACCGCAAGAGAGCAATTGCATCAATAACATCAAACCCTAACATAAAGGCATGCACGAAATCTGCACACTTCTGAAGGTTACTTACATCTGGTGTGTCAGATCTAGTCTTCAGTTCAACCTTCCGAGCCTTGAGATTCATACGGATGTCAACCTTCATCTGCTCATATACTGGGGTATAGATATCCATCCATGCCTTCTTGAGAGGTGAATAACGATGAGGTGGAACAGGCACCTTCCTAAATTGAACTCGACCATCAGACATTTCATGAGCCTTCAAAGGCTCAAATGTTGGCTTTGGCGGCCAAGATCCATTCTCAGTTTTGGTATCAGATGCAAGCATTTGAACCTCCATTTTGCAGTAGCTTGCAGCTCTGCAATGAAAAGAAAATAAAAATCTAAAGACCATTATTCACAGAAATCTAGATTGCCGACAAGCAGCAGAATTTTCATAGCAGTAAAAACTCATATTAACGGAATCTACCATCTCTGAAAACATCTATCAGCAATACAACAGAAAATTAAACAGGATAGTACAATCAAATGATTTCATATGAACAAAAATTTGGACAAAGTAGATTTGCACCAACGGAGCGTGGTCTTATTGCAATCATGCACCTGTGAACTTTTCATAACCATACGGAACTCAGTATTTTGTCCATGTCCCTAAAGTAATTTGTTTTAAAAAGTTCAACACAAAACATATCCATCGTACAGTAAGAACAAATTTTTAAAAAAATTAGAAGAAAAAAACTAAAAAAAATTGAAGTATAAACTACAATAAAACCAATCCTCAAAAGATAAAACTATAACATCTGGTTCCCAGCACTTATATTCTCGTTCACTTCCTAGATTTTAGTTGTTTGTAACGACCCCACTTCTCTGACGAGAATTGACACTATCACATGTACAGGGACCTAGTGCGCAACAACATAATAGAGCATTACATTACATATCCCTGGTACATGTAAACTGTAATCGAGAACCAATACATGAGGCAATGTACATAAGCTTCTATTACTAGAATTTAGTAGGAGTACTAACGAAATTAAACTATTCTGTCTACAGATCTCTGCAATTATTCGGACTTGTATATACTGATGCGCATATTTACAGTTGATATATACACCCACTCACACATCCTGAACACATGATTACGGAAATACGTACACACACATACCGACACATGCACGCACCCCATTCACACAAACAGCCATGAAAGGCCTTTCCGCACACCAACCCGCAACTGTCTATCAACTCATCACAGCACACAGGATATCAGATAATAAAAACAAACATACAAAAATCAATCGGACAACAAAAATGCACAAAACCGATTTTTAGCATCACCCTCGGCATCTCACATGGAATTTAACCAAAAATCGCAATCTAACTAGACGATTTAAAGCCCAAACTTCGATCAAACGATTACGAGGGAGGTTCGGGTATCCTTACCGGAGTCAGAAGTCGATCACGCGAACGGGAACGGCCACACACTTCTCCCCCCTCGCGCCCAGTCCTCTTCTCCTCTTCCTTGACGCGCCGAATCCCTTCTTTCTCCCCTTCTTCCTCTTCCTCTTCCTCTTCCAAATCGCAGCTTCTGTTTTTAAACCCTTTTTTTGCTTTTTTTTCCAATCAAACGGCGCCGTTTTGAGCTTCTCAAAACGACGTCGTTTAGAGTGCTTCAAAACGCCGTCTGGGCTAGGTTTTGCTTATCTGACATGGATGTTACATTTGATATACATTACACAAATATAGAATTTGACTTTTTTAATTCAATTTCCAATTTATTTGTTCTATGTACATTTTATTCTCATTTAATTATGTAAAGTTAGAATATCATGAAAACTCATCCTAATAGATACTACCCATTGAAGATAAAAGACGAACACACAAGATTAACTAATTCATTCTCAATAAACGAGAGTCTATATTTAAATTACACATTCTTTATCGTTAAGAACAAAAACTTAATCCATCTTCTAAATTTTAATATTAAATATTATAATTTATGTACAAATATTTAAAAGATAAATTTTAGAATAAAAAAAAATATCAAGAATCTCTTTTGACACTTTTTCTTTTGTTGAACTCGTTACGAACTCAAAAATTTATTAAATAAAATTAGAATACTGATTTCATGAGGTGGTAAATTTTGAAATATTACAAAAGATTATTAGAAACACTTTATAGTATATATTTAATGAAAAATAAAAAATTACTATTCAAAATGAAACTGTGACTTTCTATCATAACAAAATATGTTGAGAAAATCTAATTTAAAAAGAATGAGAGAGTAAATTATTATTTCATAAGCCTATTCAAATAAATTTTTTTGCATATCGTAAAAATACGCTGTTAGAAGAAGTTACTAAGTATGATATCAGGTAAATAATTTATTAGAAGTCATATTGTAGTAATCTTAGTGGCAAGGTAAGTAGAACTAGTTCTTACTTTTTATATTAATTGCAAGCTCCTCCTCACCAAGTTTAAGTTGTTCTTAAGACAAATTTTAGCAACAAACTGAAGAATCATTATTATTATGAAACAACTTATTGAAATAATATTACTTTATCACATGCCCTCCATAACAATTTAGGCAAAAAGAAAAACAAAGGAAAAAAAAAACGCAACCAATAACATAAAAATCTATGTTTCATCGAAGTTTAAAGATGTATTTCAAGACCTAATTGATAAAACCATCAACCAGAAACCGAAACAGTGAATTTACGAAGAAGTCGCCTGATACAAGCAACTTCCTCTCTTTTCGACTTTCCAGCTGCAGCTTAAAAGAGTGAGAGAAAATACAATGGAAGAGACATGTTTATTTGAGGGAAACGATATGGTTTCAGTTTAAGACCTGTTTCTTTAAAGGCACCAAAGAGGCTGGAGAGAAACAACGCTGTTTAGCTAAAGCCTCAAATGGGGTCGTTTTAGTATTTTCAAACTTAACAATTGGGGTACAAAAGTGTGAAATTTGTCAGAGAAAAGGCCGCCAGGGAAGCTCATGGAATCGTCGTATCCCAATAAGGCGTTAACCGAGACGCGCTTCTCCGACCTCAAGCCGCCGCTCTCCGAACCGGTACTGGAAGCACTGAGCGCAGAAGGGTTTCAGTTCTGCACGCCGGTTCAAGCTGCTACGATCCCCTTGCTATGCAGCTTCAAGGACGTAGCCGTCGATGCCGCCACCGGCTCCGGGAAAACCCTAGCCTTCGTTGTCCCCTTGGTAGAAGTCCTGCGTCGATCCTCCTCTTACCCTCCAAAGCCTCACCAGGTCCTCATTTTTCTCCTACTTTCTCTCGCTACTGTGAAAAAGTGGGAGCCTCTTAATTATATTAGCTCAAGCAAGTAGGTAATTAAGCATAGACTATGTTTAATTGATTGATTTCAAGCTCTAGCGAGAATATTTCAGTTTGATTTGTGATTTGATCGTAGTTAATTACTCTTGACTGTATCGTTAAAGCCATATATTTTTTTCTATGTTGTTTCAGTTTGATTTGAGATTTATCGTAGTTAATTACGCGTAACTATATCACTAGAGCCATCTGCTTTTTTCTTTATTAAGTTTCACGAGGATCGTCATGTTTATTTTGCTAGATTATCTAGTTGAAAACTTAGATTACTTTACCAGGTTATGGGGATTATCATCTCACCAACAAGGGAGCTATCCTCGCAAATATTCAACGTGGCCCAGCCATTTGTAGCGCCGCTGGCAAATGTGAAGGGTGTGCTGCTTGTTGGAGGTGGAGATGTGAAGACAGACATGAAGAAGATAGAGGCGGAAGGAGCTAATTTGTTGATAGGCACTCCTGGCAGATTATATGATATAATGGAGAGAATGGGTATCTTGGATTTTCGGAGTTTCGAGGTAGTTTATGGAATCCTGGTTATTTTTGTTTGGTGCATTTGAATTTTTCCTAATGAATGAATGGTTGTTAGCTTAAAGACAATGCATGGTTGTTGTGTTGACTGCAAATCTCAGTTCTTGGTTCATGATATGAATTGACAGTTTTTCTAATCTGAGTGGTGTTTGAGTCGATTTTTACAAGTAAAGTTTGATACTTGAAAAATATAAGTTTTTCATGTTATAATGATCTGATGTTATCTAGTTGAAAACTTAGATTACTTTACCAGGTTACGGGGATTATCATCTCACCAACAAGATTATCAGTTCTTAATGATCTGATACTCTATGAGTATCAATTTTTAATTATTTGATACTTTTTTTTGAAATAGTTTTTAATTATTTGATACTGTATGAGTATCAGTTTTAATGGTATAATGATTTGACGCCAGCTGCAAAACTTTGGTTCCTATGGCAAGATATTGGTATGAATCCAACTTCAAAGGTTATTAATCTCTTGATGAAGGCATATCTTGTCTGTGGTGGTGTTATTTAGTATAAAACATGATTACTTAATTCAGGGAAGTTATGAGGAACCTTTTGCCTTTTGGACTTGGGAGAATGAATGGAATGTGCACTGTGTTTGATGTTTTGCTTGGTTACAATTGTCATTAGGATTTTCATTTGTTAATGCAGATTTTGATTTTAGATGAGGCTGATAGGCTCTTAGATATGGGATTCCAGAAGCAGATAAATTACATTTTATCTCGCTTACCAAAGCTTCGTAGGACTGGTCTGTTTTCAGCTACACAAACTGAGGCTGTTGAAGAGTTATCAAAAGCAGGACTTAGAAACCCTGTAAGGGTTGAAGTTCGAGCTGAAACAAAAACAATGCATGATTCAGAATCAGCGCAACAATTAGCTTCTTCTAAAACACCTTCAGGCCTTCATCTTGAGGTATACTGTTTGTGATGCTTGAATATATTTTAGTATATATGAATACACATGATTTCCTCTATAATTCTAATTTGTTTGCAAGTTCATTTCTTTGTTTGGATCTGCAGTATTTAGAATGTGAAGCAGATAATAAACCATCTCAACTTGTTGATCTCCTTATCAAGAACAAATCTAAAAAAGTTATAGTGTAAGTTATGCACATGTGTATCTCAAACTATACTCTTTATGTAAATATTCTTTATGTAAAGATACTTCTCACTTTTGCAGATACTTCATGACATGTGCCTGTGTTGATTACTGGGGAGTTGTTCTTCCACAACTTACTATCTTGAGGGGTTTCTCCTTGATTCCTCTTCATGGGAAAATGAAGCAGGTAAGCGGCTGAAGATTAGCATACTTTTCAATTATCTGAAGGCAGTGTTTGCAGACTTATCCATGTGGATTTTCAATAGTTATGTTCTTTTATTACAACAGAAAGCAAGAGAGAAAGCACTAGCTTCATTCGCTCCACTTTCAAGTGGCATCCTTCTATGTACTGATGTTGCAGCACGTGGACTTGACATTCCAGGAGTTGACTGTATAGTGCAGGTAGCTTAGCAACTGTGGGGAATGTAAATCCCGTGGTTATTCTGATTCTATCAGTGAAAGCGAATAAAAAAGTTCTATCAGTAAATAACTGTTTTGAGTTGCTTCTGTTTTTCACTTTTTAATCTCAACAGCCAGTGCTGATGGTTCCTTTCTTTGTTGCTTTTATAGTATGATCCTCCTCAAGATCCAAATGTTTTCATTCACAGAGTTGGACGAACAGCTAGGTTAGGTAGAGAAGGAAATGCCATTATTTTTCTATTGCCAAAGGTGCAATTTTTGTCTATAGTAACTAATTGCTTGTTTGATTAAGTCCCGCACCTCTTTCTATCTTCATTGTTAAGGTCTCACTTCATATAAATTTTCAATTATGAGAATATGCTTTCTTTCATACCATCTAGGAGGAAGCTTATGTGGAATTCCTGCACATAAGAAGGGTTCATCTTCAAGAAAGAAAATGCACAGATGATGCTGTGGATGTTGTCTCTCATGTGAGCTCTCCTCTGTACACATGGTTTCTTCTTTTCTTTATCTTTTCTTGGGCCCTACAGTTTGTTTAACCCTTTCTCTTTGCTATTGATTTAAAATCATAACTTCTCCAGATTCGATCTGGTGCAAGGAAGGACCGTGATGTCATGGAAAAGGGACTGAGAGCATTTGTATCCTACATCCGTGCATATAAAGAACATCACTGCTCTTACATTTTCAGGTCTGACCGCACTTGATCTTAACTAAGAACTGTTTGATCTTCTCTGCGTTGATGTTTGAAGTGATTTTCTTTTTCACCTATCATCTTACAGGTGGAAAGAACTCGAAATTGGAAAGTTAGCCATGGGATATGGTCTTTTACAGCTTCCATCGATGCCTGAAGTAAGGAATCACTCACTTTCTACTGAGGGTTTCACTCCAGTTGAGGACATAAATTTGGCAGACATCAAGTATAAGTAAGAATTCATTAAGAGCTTAACATGCTATATAAAGTAGATAGAATCTAGGAAATGGAAGCCTCTCTCTATTTTTTTTTTCTTTATGTGGGAAAAGAAAAGATCCATAGATGCGTTCACCTATAACAATTTATATTTTGTTTCCTTGAACCAAAATCACTTCCTTTCTTCTATAGCTTCAAGATCATCTTGGTCGCCCTGAAGAAATTTCATCTTTTTTACATGTTAGATGATATGATGGTTGTGGAAGATAATGAAATTATATTTTGCTATCTTCCAATATATTAGTCTGTGCTGCTTGCTAAAAATTGTCATGATTTAGGGATAAATCCCGTGAGAAGCAAAGGAAGAAGAATTTACAAGCAAAAAAAGAAAAAGAAGAAGAAAAAAATTCCCAGAAGGTCAGCAAAACTTCAAAACAAACTCCTACTATCATGAAGAAGAAAACAGCAAAACAGAGACGTGCTGCACAAACAATAGAAGACGAAGAGGAACTGACCCGAGAATACCGGCTGCTTAAAAAGCTGAAAAAGGGAGCCATTGATGAGAGTGAATATGCAAAATTAACAGGAATCGAAGAGTTACTTTGACTTGCAAGATTTAGAGGTTGCGTATTACCAGCTGTTATTAGATTCTGAAGGCAAGAATTGAATTAGTAACCTATTTTCTGGAAACTTATCACATCCTTTGGGCTTATGGATGTTGAGAACCGGGTGTCAAGGAATCTAGCTTTAGCTAATTTGGTTGATGACCTTTGCTGGTGAAAGGAAAGTGGCACTCAGCTCAATTTTAGCTTCTGCTTTGAGACAGGGGCACCAGAAAAGCAAGTCACAGTTACTTCTCATTGATAGTAGTTTATTATGCTGATTTATTTACATGGGAAATTTTTGTTTGGTTAAGAAGAAAAGCTTTGTAGTTACTGTTGCCAAAATAGGTGCCTAGAGTTAGGTTAAATCTTTCATAGTTAAAGAGGTAGTGCAAGATAGAAATTTGACACCCTTCTTTTTTTATTATATTTTGGGTAATGGGTTTTTGGTTTTTAATGTTAGGAGTTATTTAGGTGATTAGTTCCAAAAGAATTATCGAATATTTGATTAAATGATAAATAATTAATTATTAGTTCAATATTTCATGCTTAATGAATTAAATTATTTATATCTTTAATTTTATAATTATAAATCTTACAAGAATTTGTATTTTTGTTTGTTAAATCTTAGAATTAATTTGAAATTAGGATATCAATTTAATGATTTTTTTGTGCATTTATTTTTATTTTATATAATTAAATTTTAATCTACTTTCTTCAGATTAATTTGCGATAATGTACTAAATAATTTGCCGTAGTGGTAAAATTTATAAGAATCACAAGTACCAATAAAAGTTAGAAACTTAAATATTGGCTTAATATAGAATCACTCTTCTATTTGGATCTACTCTCATCCAATCATGCTTGCTCTTTGCTCCAACCCCACAAACCCTAAACACATATCAATCGCTCAAAACACCATCATCATATCTCTCGTTGAAATGCTATTCATTATCCATACAATTCCTTTCTAGTGCAATAATAATATTTTTGACATCGTTTTCAACCAGACATTGTGGTTCGTTTTGGAGGTCGAGAGATTTATGCTTGAATTACTAAGTGAAAGTTATTGTAAAGTTGTTGTCATATATGAATTTGTTGATTCAAGTTCTTATAGAAGTCAAACTGGGCTATGTTACGTTAGTAGCTTGTTTTACCAGCGAGTCGTTCGTATAATAAATTTTATTATTCGAATTATTGATGATGTTTTTAAGGTTATTGTTAGTGAATTCGAAATATTCTTATAAACAACGATTGTTTTAATTTTATTAAGAAATCATATGTTAACAGATAAGTTTAATGTTAAAAAATAATTTACTTTCATTTTTAATTTTAACAGATAAAAGATGAATATATATAAAAAAAAAACTTAAAACTGAAGATGAATTAAATTTTTTTTTTATTAAAAGCATTATTTTATAAAAAAATAATATTTTAGATTAAAACATAAAATAATAATATTTAAATGAAAATACAAGTATCAAAATTTATTCAATGAGTAGCATATATAAATGAATTTAGTTAAACTATTTGATTGACAGATAGATGACACCAAGTTTACTCTAACTTAATTATTTAAATTTAAGTTTTTATTTAAATTCAACTTTCATTATCATTATATTATTTTAAAAAATAAGATATAAAACATATTTTTTTATTTAAATATCTAATATCATGTGTTGAATGTGCATATATTATATAATATGTAATGATTGTATCTGTTTTGATTTTATTTTGTTTAGTTTTATGATTAACTAATTTCATTTTCTGTCTAATATTTCTATGAATTTTTATATGATATTTAAATATAATTTATTTGTTTAATTTTATTCCTACATCTATTTCAAATTTTTTAAGATGGAAATATAATTCATATACTAATTTTTATATATTAGATAATTATAATTTAATAATAAAATGTAAATATATATTCAAACCCAAATACAATGGAAGTTGCATGTCCATGGCGCGGTAAGTATGGGTCAACGACTCTCTTCTCTGCATCCAAAGCTTCATCGTCACTTCTTCTCTTCTTCTACTTAAAGCTCTCTTCTTCCTCTTCTTCTCCACTTCATTTTACTCATCGTATTATCAAGTACGTGCTATCTCCTCTACATTACTCAGCTCCATAGCCATTTCGATTAAAATAAACTCCTCGCTCGCTTTCGCTTATACCCAGTGAAGAAAACAATGTCAATTCCATCCGACGATCCTCCCGCTTTCGACCCTTTAGAGCCGTCAGTTCCCATCTCTTACCCTATCAAAACCCTCGAAGAGCTCGCCTCGCGATCTTATTTCGATTCATTTCACTACCCGTTTAACAAGTCCTCCGTTCCTCTTGAAATGAACCAGTTCTTGCCAGATAGGCCGAGGATTTTGGTGTGCCACGATATGCAGGGGGGTTACGGGGACGATAAGTGGATTCAAGGTGGTCAAAACGCAAGTGGGTTTGCGCTTTGGCATTGGTATTTAATGGATGTTTTCGTCTACTTCTCCCATAGTCTGGTTACTTTGCCGCCTCCTTGTTGGACCAATACTGCTCATAGGCATGGAGTAAAGGTGTTTGTTGAAATGTTTTTTTGTTAAATTATTCTTGGATTTGCTGCTAATATTTTACTGACCGAATTTTACAAGGTGGAGATTTGAAGTCTTGGTTTGGAATTACTTAATCTTTTGTTTCAATGGAAGTTTAAAATCGGTGGATTCTAAATAGTTCTTTCAAAAGGACATTGATCATTAGGCATTTGAAGCAGAGTAGTCAAATAGCTATATGACTTTTTCTCGTTTTCTGGTTATGAAATGTAATGTAGATGAGTTGATTACTTGTTTAATTGTGGTAACTCTGGCTTTTCCAACATTTTACTTGGAGATTGGAAGTCTTGAAATGATGAACCTTAACACTGTCAATACGTGGCGTGGTGTAAGCTCAGGTAGAGCTAAAAGGGTACTTCTAGAGTCTTCAATTGTGGAATGTTTTTCACTCGTGCTATATTTTTGCCAGAAATGGACGTGTTGAAAGATTCTAATGAATGTGTACGTGGTTATGTTTGATATGTTCTCATTTTTGCTGATGAACAAGTGAAGGTATTAGGGACATTCATTACAGAGTGGGAGGAGGGAACAATTATTTGCAATACTTTACTCGAAAGTAAAGAGTCTGCACAAATGTATGCCGAGCGCTTGGCTGAGCTTGCAGTTGCTTTGGGATTTGATGGATGGCTGGTATATTTATATGAATCTGCATGGATTTTTAGTTTCTTGCATTTCCAATAGGTTTTGTCCCAGCATTTATCTTGAACCTCAGCTAGGTAGGCTCCACATGCTGTGTCCTTCATGCTTTTGGTTTTATGTAAATTAATATATAAATTGATGCTTTTTTTTTTCTCGTGAGAGGGAGAGGAGGGAAAGGAAAGAAATTTATAACAGTTATTGTTATTATTATTATGGTTTCTACAAACTATTTTTGAAGTTCAATCACAAATCCTTTTAGAATTGACATCATCATTTTTACTCACAGCTCAATTTAAAGAATAAATTGGATGCAGAGCAAGTCCCCAATTTGGGAGAATTTGTCAGTCATCTAACCAAGACCATGCATTCCTCAGTGCCTGGATCTATGGTGATCTGGTAAGTGTTATGAACTTTTACCCTTTAACATCAAATTTTCAACATTTTTCTTTGTCATTCTTGATCCTAAAAAATTATATGCTACTGGGGAAACATTTTA